CGGCCGCCGCAGACATGGGCTGCTTCTGCGCGGTGCCCGAGGAATTCTACTGCGAAGTTTTGCTCCTGGACGAGTCCAAGTTAACCCTCACCACCCAGCAGCAGGGCATCAAGGTAGGCGGGCGCTGGCGGGGGTCGCGTTCCGGGGGTGGGGGGCGGCCGGCCGACTCCCCGGCTTTGTTTGGGGACTGTCAGCGCGCGGGCCGGCGGCTGCGGCGCGCGCTCGGGCGGCCGGTGGACGCGGCGGAGCGGGGTGACGCTGAACCCCTCGGAGAGGGAGGTCGGACGTTCAAAGCGACGGCCCGCTCGGACCCGGCAAGTCTTCCCGGCACCCATCTCCGCGGAAAACACCCGATCTCCTTCTCCACCTGCATTTCCCAGAGACGCAGATTGTGTATTAATGCTGTACCCCACCCCAGTGTGGAAGGCATGATCTGACTCGGGTTTGTAGACTTTTTTTACCACCCCGCATAGGTGACTTCGGGAAATAGACTAGTTTCCTTGCTGACACACCTTCATTGGGTTGTAGCGATTAGGTTGCCTGGTTTTGTAAGTGTGTGATGCTTCCCTTGGGCGGAAAATAGTTTCCCTTTCATAAGTAAACTGGCTTTATCCCCACATTAAGTAAGCGTCGCTCAAAGTGACTCAGTAATAATCTTGCTCCTTTTTGTACATCATTAAAATGCAATTACTACTATTAACCTGAGAACCCAAACAAAAAGGCTGCGGGAGCTTGCAGAGGTCTACTTCCCTGCTAACCAAACCTAAAGGTTAACAGTTCAAATCCACTGGCCCCTCTGCAGGAGAGCGATGAGGCTTACCCGCTCCGTAAAGATTTTCGTTCTCGGTAACCTTGTAATGTGAGCGCTGGAGTTGGAATGCACTCGATGACAGGGGGTTAATGTTTACAGTTGATAACCTGACAGAAGAGCGACTGTTCGTTCCCCTTTTTACCTTTTGCAACAAACCGGAAGGTGATCAGAATCATTTTGCTGTATTGTTTCTCTTTTCCCCTCCGTTTTAAAATCACTGAGGCATTTCAGATAATGAAGCAGCCGAGTCTGAAAGGACTGAGAATTCGAGTACAAGCCCTCACGTATCCTCTCAGTCTTGTCATCTCTGAAGTTCTTGTAACGGGGTAGGCCCAGGGCATCTCCCTGTATGAATCAGTGAATAATTACCACGTTTATGAAGCTTTATGCACACTAAAGTTACTGTTGCTGGCTAAATATTTTAGCTTTAATAATGCCGTTGTGAGTGAACAGAATTATAATTCCTGAGGTGTCGTCTCTTTGAGGGAGAGGAAGGGGCAAGAATGATCAATTACAGCTACAACAGCAATACTCTCCTGTTGCAAAATTATTTTGAATATTGTTTCCTCAGTTATTATAAGAATCAAAAGTAAATCAGAGCCTCGTTTAGCATTTCAAGGCCAAGAATATTAACAGGAAGGTGTTTATATTTTATTTCCAAGTGTTTTTTTAAAATATAAATAATGTGAGGACTTTGAAATTTTATTATCATCCATGAAATTTTTGAGGTGTGTGTGCTTCTGCATGTATTGTGGTATAATATACTGATGTGTATGTGTATACATATATCAAAAGAAAACATGTCACACACCAAAAAAATATGAGAGAAAGAAAGAAAAAGAAAGAAATGGGGGGGAAAGAGCTTACTTTTCAAAATGATGCAGTATTCTGTAGTATGAATCAAACAGGCAAGACAATCACAAAAGAGTCCAAACTTCTTGATAATGCCTAGCATGCTTGTTTGTTTGGGGGTGGAAATGTTAGAAAAAACATGACTGATGACCTGATACAGGAACAACAAAGAAATCTTCCTGAAGTGCAGAGTGGCAAGTCATCTGGCGTGTGAGCTTCCTCCTTAATCATGAAGCCATGCCCCTGTCAGTTGTAGAATGTCACATTATTCTTTCAAGAGAGCAGCCGAGACTTGGGATCAAATGGAATAATCTTGTCAAGAGAAACAAGAATCAAAAATCCTGATCCATAATTACTTTTTAAAACTCACTGGTGCTTATCTTGTTTTACAAGTAGGTTGAAAATCAGTGAGTAATTCACAGTCAATAGCAAATTCCTAATACTGTTATTTTGGATATATGCCATATTGCTAAACTATAATTTAAGCAGGCTTTTGTTGGAAGCAATCATTTTGCAACAGGTTTGGCCTCTTTCCGTGACACAAAAGCATGCCACAGTGATTTTGACCTTATGGAATAAAACATCAGTCAGTCCTGTGTCATCCTCACAATTGTTATGTTTGGGCCCCTTAGTATAGCCACTGTGCTAATCCATCTCATTGAGAGTCTCTCTCATTTTTGATGCCCTTCTTTACCAAGCACGATACCTGTGGTAGTTACATAATCTGGTGTCAGTTTGAGGATTGAGTGTAGGGGTGGAATCTAGGCTGTCAATCAGGATCTAGCTAATGAGGCCTCTGCGTGGGCATGGTCTTCCCCTAAGGATTCTGGGAATTCCTGGATTTCCTTCTTGAAAGGCGGGAGATACTCTCTACTCACAAGATACGTGGAACTATGCTAGTGCCCTGAGCTAGAACAGCCACGTGGAGACCCCTGCCAGCACTGAGATACTTAAAAAGACACAGGATCTACAAGACTTCCCACCCACTGGCTTATGATCTTCCTGCATTCGGCATCATTGCATGTGTTTCTTGAGTCTGAAGAGGACTTTATAGATTGGTATCTGACATAAATGGGCTCATATTGGACTTATGGACTTGATCTGGACTGGGCTGGGATGTTTTCACAATATTCAATTGTTCTTGTATATAAAGCTCTTTCTTATACACATGTGAGTGTGTCTATGAATTTGTTTCTCTAGTCCACCTGGACTAACGCAATACCCTATACTGCATTCTCAACTCAAACTCACTGCCATCAAGTTGAGTCCAACTCATAGTGACTCTGAAGGACAATGAACTGCCCCTGTGCGTTTCCAAGACTGTAACTCTTTTTGGGAGTAGAAAGTTTCATCTTTCTCCTCCAGAGTCCTGGTGGTTTTGAACTCCTGACCAAAGCTTCACCCAGTACACCACCAGGGTTTCTTCTACTGTATTAGTTAGATGAAATTAACACCTAGGAGCTCCAGAGGTGCTGTAGGGTCGGTGGTTCAAACCCACCAGCTGCTACTTGACAGAAAGATGAGGTTATCTGTTCTTATGAAGGTTTGTACCCTTGGAAACTCCTAGGGTGACTCTGAATTAGAATATACTCGATTCTGGTTTTAGTTTGTAAATGAAATGAACAATTATTTCAAATAGCCTATTTCTATTATTATAGTGTTACTCCTGGGATGGTACATTTGATAATTTTGGTTATTGCTACTTAAAGTAAAAATTAAGTTTGAGACTTTAGTTATGCTTATATTTCACCCGGAACTGAAATAGGAACATTTTGATTACTTTTCCATTTTTCAGGAATATTTCTAATGTTTATTTTGAGGTGACCCCTTTTCCTATTCTATCCCCAGTTCAAGGAAGATAGCTAATTTTTTTTTAAAAGCATTCACACATTTTATCCCTTAATTGGAGGTATGTTGCTGATTCTTAAATAATTAAGAACGTGCTTGCATTGGTTTCATAATGCATGGTGAACTGAAAAAGGTTAATTATAATAAATTAAGGCAGAAGGTTGAGACAGTTAAAAATTATTTTCATGTGTGCTATTTTTAAATGTTAACATGGTGTTCCTTATAAATAGCATACAAATATTTTTGAAAACCTTTTGGATTTATCTAAAAACCGAATTACAGATTGCAATGTTAGTTAAAGAGTGATTTTCTGCAATTTAGATAAAAGTTTTTTCATTGACTTCAAAAACTGAAGATGTGTGTCCACAGAAAGTCTTTCACATTTTTTGTGTTAGGGATGGGTAACATTGAACTGGAAAATGGTTTTCACTTAAAAATGTGGACAGAAAACAAGACAGAGCAAAGATAAGATAGGCAGGATAAACATTCTGGAGGAGAAAACAACGGGACCGATGGCTCTGGGAGGCAGGGGTGTTAACAAATCCAGGGATAAGTGATCTAAAATTCATTGGGGGAAGGAGGGTGTAGGAGGTCTGGTATGGCTTGATCAAGGGCAATGTAACCAAGAGAAATTACTGAAACCCAAATGAAGGCTGAGCATGAGAGTGGGACAAGAAGAAAGTAAAAGGAAACAGAGGAAAGAACTAGGGGGCAAAGGTCATTTACAGAGGTCTAAATACAGGTATGTACACATGTAAATATATTTATATATGACGATGGGGAAATAGATCTTTGTACATATATTTATTGGTTTAGCATTAAGGTAGCAGATGGACAAGTACTACCTCAACACAAGAACACTTTGTGGCATTCTATGATGTTCACCTTCCCGACAC